ATATTCAAATTTTCTTGTATTTTATAAGGATTATATATATATTGTAAAATCTTCTTTACACCATATGCCCACAAGATGTACCATTAAAAAGGGCAAAATATTGTTTATTATATATATGTATATTATATATAATATTATATATATAATATACACAGTCCGTCTGTACTCTCAAAGTTGTTTGAGTTGGAAAACAAAGAAAAAAGCACATCTATTTTCCTTTACATGATCAGTAATGTCACTAATGATGACTTGAGGTAATGCAATCACCAGTTAACTACTGTTTTTTTCTATACAGGGTCAGCAGTTTACTTACACATATTTTTATTATTTTAATATACATTAATATACAAGTATTATAAGTATTGACTATAATTCCTTACAATACATATTTTTAAAACAAACGTTTGCAGTCAGTTCACACTGATACCTTTCTGCTGGTTAATCTATAATTATATATATATATATATTTTTTTTTTTTTTTTTTTTCTCTAAATTTACAATCTCAAGACATGCTCCTAACCGGGCATGCAAACTCCGTCAATATTACCAGAGCTACACAAAATCTAACTGGGACGCAGGAAACTTTAAATCTCAACCGTGAACGTTGTCACAAAATCTTTAACACGTTATAATAATTTTAATTATAATGAACATAATAGTAGCATTATTATATTGCCAAACAGATCATTAGTTAAAACAGAAGTGTCACAAACTTTGATTCATGTATTTTCATATTTGAAAAGTATTTTTTATGTAATGTCTGTTAATGACTTATTCATGAAAGTGTTAGCAAATAATCTTTTGAGAGATGAGTACAAATAAATAATGATGTGCTCGTGAAGTAATTGAATTAATGAAGTTCCTATGAAACTATTACAAGCGAGTGGAGGTCAGGCGAGCGGCACCCCTGAGCGCTCATTGTCAGATGTTTAACTCAAGCAATCTTTTGGGAAAGACATCGGGGCTAATAGGTGAACTCACAGCTGTCTGAATCGGGCTCGAGCTTTCAGAGCAAATAGCAAACAACTACTCATCCAGCCTCTAACTTAATGGGAAGGCAAACTTTCTCAACAGCCTCATCTTTACACGCGCGCATGGACAAGCACAACACCTAATCAATAAGTGCGCTAAACGAGTCTTTAGTTACAACGACAAAAGCATGCAGCAACCTTTTTTCTTCAGAGTTGAGCTCATAAAACATGTACTCACGTTGCACTGTATAAACACCCCATGAGTTTTCGCCCATGCGTCAAAAGTTTTCTTGTTTTAGAGTCCGTGTTTTAGAGTTCAGTCTCGGAGTGCAGGGAGGAAACATGCAGCCCTGCAGCTGCAACTGGATTGTTTTCTCACTTATTCGGGAAACTTAAGATAGTAGGCAGGTAGGGTGCTCGGAAGAGTTTGGCAGAGTGCCTGGAGAATGAATATGTGCCCAGTTTTCTTGGTCTTCAAAGCATACTGTAGTAAAACACTCAACGGATGTTTAGAATACCTCGCATACTTGAAGTTGTTATTATTTTGAAATGGTTTGGAGGAGAAGAGTTTAGTTTGGTTATTTTAAAATGTTTATTCGTGCACCGTTTTTTATTATTATTATTATCTCTCTCTCTCGCTCTTTCTCTCTCTCTCTTTCTCTCTCTCTCTCTCTCTCGTGGCTGTTTTTTAGAGTCCGACTGACATAATATTTGTTTAAGGCTTTTTTTTAATGCTAGACTAATATTTTAACAATGTATAAATTCTGATTTAATAACGTTATTTAAAGTTAGGTTTATATAGTAAAATAATTTATAAAAGGTCACAGCATTTTGCGAATAAAATTAACATAAAATTAATTTAAAATGGATTAGAATTGTATTTCACAATATTTTAGGATATTTTATACAAGAAAGTATCAGATCAATTTTTTAGTGATTAAAAAAATAGATTCAATCTTAAACCTGGTTGACAAGTGTACAATTTTAATTATCCTTAGCTTAGAGGTTGACCAAACCAAAAGAGAAATTATAATCACCATGCGCAATTCATTTAATACGATTTTGGAATTATATTTGTGTCATTTCATATTTGTTGCACTTGTCTCTCTCTCTCTCTCTCTCTCTCTCTTTCTCCCTACAGACACTCAAACACCATGGCAAATATTCCATTAGTGCCGTAATTTGCCTCTGAGACTTTGCAAGCTCGCAGATGAAATCTGGCAGTGTGAGTTGAACATATGTGCGACGTTCAAACAGATAAAGTGTGAACTGCCTTTTTGCTAATGGTGAAAGTATGGCAAAGTTTAATGTTTTCTTTTCGTTGCAAGTGCTTCACATGCTCTTGTTGCATCGCTTAAAACAGGGTGCACAATGACTCGGGTACTTTGAACCCTCGTCAAACGCATAATGAGAAGCTGACGGTGTGAAATCTGACTAGACTGTAGTAAACAGCCTCCTCTGATGTGATCGTTCTGTCCAATAAAGGCAAAACGGGAGAGAACTCGCTGCGTTTTCACACTGACTTCTGCTTTGTCTTTTGAAAAGTGGCGTCTGAGAGTCTGACTCTTGGAGTTACTGATTTGCAGGCTGCATGTTAAGGTAGACCATGTAAGTGATTTCCACGGGCATTGCACTAAAGGAGAACAAATCGCTGACAAAGGGGGTAGCTTTTCGATTCAATAGCGTCGTTAGGACGACCGAAAAGTATTCCTCAGATAATAAGTTCTACTTCAAAGCGTCTCGCGTTCAGCTGTGACTGCTGCAGCTTTTATGGAGTCCCCCCTTTTCAGTCCGAGGGGACTATCTCTTTGGTTATTTTTCACCGTGTTTATTTTGCACTATTCAAAGGGCAATGTTTTAAATAAATAGAAGATAATTCTTTCCTTGAGCAAATAAGAGTTCGTGGACAAAAGATGGGCAGAGCGCGCGCTTATTTCCGAATTAAACGTTAATGCGCGCGAGGGATTTCAAATATTTGGGCACAAAAATATGAGCGATTCCGATGAAGAGCGAATTGACTGCTCTAACGTAGCATGAAACTAAAGGTCAGTGCGACTGTACCTTAATAGAGTGTTTCCAATCGAAGTGGCCTTTTTCCAGTGCCCGGTAAACACACACGCGCTTTATGAAGTTGCCCTTGAACTTCACACTATTTATGGGGCGTTTCACTGACACAAAACACTAGATTTACAATCTCAAACGACTCACCAACTTGTGTGCTTTATTCCACGGGAGTTAGCTTGATGTTCATTAGCATGAAAATAAAAATCCCACTTTCTTAAGAAGAGTTTTAGAACTTTCTAAATACATATTTTCCACCCGCCATAAGAAAAGTCCAAGATGCCTAGCTGTCTCTTTCTGCGCTGATATAAAATGTCGACCACGCCGATTTTAAGGGACAAGACGGTTCGTGGGAGAAGTTTCTGCTTTGATGATTGTCCATTTAGCGGCAGTTAGTAGTTTTTCTACTATAAATATTCAAATGGGTCCCATAGAAATCCTAAAGCACCGTGCAGTCTTCCGTTCTGTTGTGGAGCTCTTTGAAGCGGTGCAGGACTTGCGCAGGTCAATTCTGAGTCTATAGTCTGGGACAGAGGGCACTTTGAAACTGTTATTGTGCGTTTTAATGAAGGAAATAAGATGGGCGACTTTGTTTCATATTCTCCATACAACTTTCTTCTTATTGTTTGGCAGCTTTTATGTCTTATATTCCCATGAATGATTCATGCATTGGTGGCTTTGTGCTGTTCTACTTTTCATAACGTGCACTATTAGTTAAGTGATGGTTCCCTTTTGAAACGAGACTGAATGAGGAATATTTTTATTCAGGAGAAAATCAAGAAAAAATCTTTATAAAGTGTTTTGTATAAATTTGCTGTTTCGTTTGGTTAGCATGTTTTACAGAAAATTAAGCATTACTTCTTAGCGCAACAGTGTTACTCATTGGATGATTAGTTTAAATCAATCTGTTGAATTTTAAATGAAATAGCCTACGAACTCTGATAAAAGAATGAATCGATGCCTTTTTACTGAAAAGAACATATTTACACGTCCTGCCTTTTATTCAAGTTTTCCATATATCTATACACAAACATCACATTTCTTCACGACCTTTTTACGTTTTTTTCCATCAACACCATCATGCACCTCAACAGAAAGAGTTACTACACGGTTCATGCGAAAGATTCTTCACATTATACAGCCTATTCAAGTAAGACCTTTTTACAGAACACGATAAAAAGCATCACTTCTTTTCACCAAAATTATATTATTCTTTGGTGTATCTGTACTTCCAGACCAACATTAATACCAGCAAATAAATTACAATGTACAAAACTTGAGACGCTACGAAAACATTCACAAGCATCAATACCATATACTATTTACAAATCAGTCAGGGATAGGCCTGTCAATGATACATTATTTATGGTCTCAGTGGACATATTTCGTACTCTTTAATCAGAGTTTCAATGATTTTGCATAAAATATAGGTTTAAATATTTTAAATATCACAAAAACCGTCCTGACCACAGTTATTATATAAACTGTAAAAAAAAACTCCACCGTCATTTTTTGACTTTGACAATATACAAGTAAAAACTTAAAATTATTGTCACTGCAATTTTTTGCCCCTCAGACATTTAACGTGTAAAACGATTCTCTATAAAAGATGTATATGCAACAAAGGGGTGTAATATAAAAAAAACAGCCTAAACATAATTGATAAATCTTTTGAGCTCATGTTATTTGATTTTGACAAATCAGGTAAAATCTTTAAAAAATGTACAAGTCGATTTTTCCATGTCTGATATTTCATGTTGAAAGTTACAACTGCTTATCATATGAAACATAAATTGCATCAATACTCTGAGCATGTTTTAAGGGCAAACGGGGGGGGGGGGGGGAAATCCTTTTACCCCCCTGCCACCCATA